CTAATTTTCAAACAGAAAGCATCACGGCTTCATGCAGACTTACCCAGATAAAGGGCTGTGGGCAGCACGCCGGCCTCAGCACAGAGGTTTCCTGTTTCTCAGCAGCCCAGAGGCAGAGTTTCCATGATTGCATGGGCGTAAACATCTCTGGGCACCCAACCACAGTGGAGTCTGGCTGGATTTCCAGTTTCTGGCCTCGAGATATTTCTGTTCATTGTTGCTTCATGAAACACACTGGTCCCATCTGTTACCCTAGTAGATCTGTCTTCTGGAGCACACAGACTACACGGAACCTCAGAAACAATACCTTGAATAACCCAGAAGGGAGATTCAGCAATGGTAGTGGTTCTATGCTCTTCTAATCAATGACTCTATCTACCGTCTGTCTTTCTGTCTGCATTGATTTTGTTCCACGCACAAGTCTCCACGCTAGGTGCTGGAGAGATCTGAAATAAAGTATTGTCTATTGAGGAGACAAAAATCAGTATAAATGAAGTATTTATGGACAATTGATTCAATGAAGTTAGCAAACATCTGTTTGGTGACATCTGGCAGTCAGGCACTACTTGGGGACGCAAAGAAGGAGCTCACAGTCTAAAGGGGAAGATGCATTGATCACCTCAGACAGGAAGTGACATTTCAGTTGGATTTTGAAGGAGGAGTAAGAGTTTGTCAGTGGAAAAGTGGGAGAAGGGCTGGTCGGGCCGAGAGAATGTAAACACAAAGACACGGAGGCTGGAAGGCCTGTTCCGTGAACACAAAGTCCGGGACAGCTGGACACAGGCAAGTGTTGAGGGTAGTGGCTCAAAAGGAGTTAGATCAAGACCATGTTTGCGAAGAGCTGAGACACCTGAACCTTCTAGTCCATAGGAAACTAGCAAAGACTGATTCCATAGAGGGGCATAAGCAGAGCTACATTTTAGAGGATTAATACCAGTGACAATGTCATTGAAAAAAGGGAAGCAATCAAAAGAAAACTTCCACCAGTTCCCATCGCATTTATCCACCTGCCTGCACTGGTGTACATCCACTGTTCTTCCTCTTGCTGCATGGATGAACCGAGCGTTCCTCTGTCTAAAGTCAATCTCTCCGTGTGTGCACTAGATCTCTTCCCCTCCTTCCTACTCAAGCACATGGCTCCAGAAATTCTCCCCCTCTTGCCTACATTAACATATTTCATCTTTCTGCAGCATCATTGTCATTAGCCTACAAATATGCAGTTATTCTGCCTGTCTTGAAAAACACTCTCTTGACCCTATTTTCTCTTCCAGCACTGTCCCATTTCTGTCCTCTTTACAAAACTCCTTGAAAGAGTTGTCAAATTCAGTGTCACCTACTCCTCTTCTTGTCCTCTCCCTTAAATCCACTTCAGTCAGGCTTTTTCTCCCTGTACTCCACCAAAACTGTTGATCAAGATTCCCAGTGACTCCACATTACTAATTCAAATGGTCAATTTACGATCCCTTTATGACTTGGCCTCTCCCTCCTCCTAGAAACACTTCACTTGGTTCCCAGGACCTCGCACACCCCTCGGTTTCTGCCTCTCTGACTGTTCCTTCTCAGTTGCCTTTGTTGATTCCAGCTCGTGCCCCGAGCCTCTTCATGTCCCTGTGTCCCAGGATTTGGACCTTGGCCCTCCTCCCTTCTCTGTCAACGTTCACTCCCTTTGTGACCTCATCCAGCCACCTGCTGACCACTCTCAATTTTTTTTTTTTTTTTTTTTTGAGACGGAGTCTTGCTCTGTCGCCCAGGCTGGAGTGCAGTGGTGCCATCTCGGCTCACTGGAAGCTCTGCCTCCTGGGTTCACATCATTCTCCTGCCTCAGCCTCCCGAGTAGCTGGGACTACAGGCGCCCGCCACCACGCCCGGCTAAGTTTTTGTATTTTTAGTAGAGACGGAGTTTCACCATGTTAGCCATGATGGTCTTGATCTTCTGACCTTGTGATCCGCCGAACTCGGCCTCCCAAAGTGCTGAGATTACAGGTGTGAGCCACCGCGCCTGGCCGACCCTCAATTTTATATTTCTAGCCCAGATCTCCCCGACTGAACCCCAGTCTTATTTCTCCAATTGTTTTCTGGTTTTCTTTTCTTTTCTTTTTTTTTTTTTTTT